GAAGGTGGCATTTAAGTTGGGTCTTGAAGGAGGGGTGAAAGTTGTAACCTTGGTGACAGTCAGAAGGTATATAATGAAAAGGTTTTTATACAATAACAACAATCTTATAAAGACAAAAAGCTTAAGATTTAGGAATTCTGATCGACACAATGACCAGCCACAATTCCAGAGAAGATGAAATATGCTGCCCTTCTCCTGTGAGATGGGCTCAGGACAGACTAAGTCATTTGTTATTGTTGCTGTTGTTGTTACTGTTTTCTAATACGGCCAATGCGGGAATGTGTTTTGCCTGATTAGTTGTGTTTGTTTTTCTTGGTTTCTCCATTGGGGGAAGAGTGGGGGGAATAAGTGGGAGAAAAATATTGCAGATATGAACATTTTAAAAAATTAATTAAAGGGTTGTTTGTTATGAACATTGAGAGTTACTTGTGAGTCAGGTGGAATTATTCTATTTGAGGTCCAATTTACTTGTTTGTCTCTTGTTGAAGGAGAAAGATTAATTAGCTAAGTGTCTCTACAGGAAAATGGTTGGAACACCAAAAAGCCCAAATGCCCTCATACTCCTGGATTGGCTAGAACAGAGAAGCCAGAGTAGGAAATGAGTTCAGCCCAGCAAACTCAGGCAGGCAAATCCCCAAAGCAGTGCAGAGGTGTAGTTTGTTCTAAAGATACTTTTCTTATTGTTTTTCATCATTTCAGTTGTGTTTGACTCTTTGTAACCCCATCTGGGGTTTTCTTGGCAGAGGTACTGGAATGGTTTGCCATTTCCTTCTCCAGCTCATTTTATGGTTGAGGAAACTGAGGTAAACAAGGTTAAGTGACTTGCCCAGTGTCACAGCTATCTGTCTTAGGCCAGATTTGAACTTGGAAAGATGAGTCTTTCTGACTGTAGGCCCAGTGCTCTATACACTGCACCACCGAGCTGCCTATTATACTTTTCTTAACTGGGACCAAGAGTCTTTTAAATGCCCCCACGCTTAAGGAAACATGAGGGAACAGGTTCCAGTTGGGGCCTAGGCAGAACATCCACCCAAATGTCAACAACAGATGAGCATCTGATAAGCACAGAAAAAATAAAAACTGGGACAAAAGATTCCCTGGACCTGGAAAATAGGTTAGAAACCTGACAGACTCAAGATTCTGACTTGCAACTTACACCATATGCCTCAGTGAATTCCAGCCAAATGAGAAACTTAAGCACTAAAAAAAAATTTTAATGGAATGAAATATTTGTCATAACCATGAAAGGATGATATATTGCTTTGATTCAACAAATGGAAGAAACTCTCAGAACAAGAAAGATGTCAATAACTACATGAAAAAAGTTTTAAACTGAATAATAAAAAATAACAAAAAAAATTCCAAATGAGGAAACTCCTTCTACCAATGCAAGTTAGTATCTTTTCTGCAACTTATAGTCTTAGAGAGTTGCCTAGAACACTGGGAAGTTATGTGACTTGCCCAGGGTCACAGAGGTAGGACGTGTCTTGAACTCAGATGTTCCTGGCTCCAAGATAAGCTCTGTAGCCACTAGGCCATGCTAACTCTCCTAAAATATGTAAGGAACTCTGTCAAAGTTCCCCATCTCTAACAAGTAATCAAAGGACATGAACAAACAATTTTCAAAACGAGACGTTATTAGTAATTCTTTCAAAAAGAATTGACCTCTCTGAATGCAGATGGAAGCATATTATTTGCCCTCCTTTTCTTTTGTTTTGTTTCTTCTTTCTCGTGGTTCCTCCCATTAGTTCTAATTCTTCTTTACATCATGACTAATGTGAAAATATATTTAATATGAATGTATAAGTAGAGCCTATATCAGATTGCACACAGTCTTGAGGAGAGGGGAGAAGAGGGAGGGGGAGAAAATTTAAAACTCAAAATCTTATGGAAGTGAATATTGAAAACTAAAAATAAATGAATTAATTTTTAAAAATAACCTCATTAGTTATCACAGAAATATACATTGAAACAACTTTATGGTATAATCTATGTCCTTCAAACTAGAAAAATTATTAACATCAAGGATTAAATGATAAAGTTTTAAGTAGCATTCAGTCTGGGACACAGAAGTTTTCTTTCACTGGCATGTCTAACAGCACATCAATACCAGGTCCATATTTTTCTCTTCCCCTTGTGGGCAAACCTTAGAAATATACTCACCCAGTCTATCATATGTGTAGACAGGTAGGGAGAAGGGAAAGAGAGGAGGGGCTAGAAAAAGTCACAAAAGACTTGGTAGTAATGGCAAGGATAATAGGTAATTAGTGATGGGCTGGGGGCAAAGAGAAATAGCACATCTCTTGAGTCTAGGTGACCAAGCAAGTTCAAGGGCTAGACGCAAAGGTTAAAGGTTCCTGAATTGATTTGGAGGAGGAGCTGGTGTCCAAGGAAGCTCCCCCAGGTCACTGTGCCCTAAGTTTCAGGCTAGATCCTTCACAGGGCATTCTAGGCAAAAGGGGATGTTACATTTTCTAGGAAGGGGATGTTGCTCAGGATACATTCAGAGAACAGAGTGTACCCTAGGTTGAATCAGGAGTAATGAAAGGGAACAAGAGGAGGTAAGGGTGGAAAGGTAGCTTGGGGCCACATCATAGAGAACATTGAATGCCAAGACAAGCTATTTGAACTTAGCTCAGTAGGCAATGGAGAAGAGTGGAAGGTTTTTGAGTAGAGATACGCAAAGATCAGATTTGTAGAGACATGCATGAGGAAAATTTACTTGCTATGATATGTTGGTGGATCAGAAGCAAGAGACTATTATTCCAAACATCATACAGGAGTCAACTGCCATAGTTCAGACAGGAAGCAAATGAGGATTTAGACTAGGGTGGCCACTCTGGGAATAACAGCTAGCATTTGTAAAACAGCATGCATTTATAGAGTGCTTTTGAGGTTTGCAAAGTGCTTTTCAAATGATATCTCACTTGAGCCTCAAGAGAACCCTGGGAGGTAGGTGCTATTATTACCCCTGCTTTACAGAGGGCAAAGCTGAGGCAGATAGTGGTTTAAGTGTTTTTTCCAGGGTCACATAGTTAAGAAATAAAGGAGACCAGATCTGAACTTAGGGCCAGGTCCAGTGCTCTATTTACATTGCTACCTAGCTGCCTAAAGGGATAGAATGGATGATGAATTAAACAATGGAGGTAAACATCTATAGGTGAAAAATACAATAAAAATTATCTTCAGTTCAAGTTTACATGAGGCTTTTTTCCTCATGAAACAGAGAAAGAGCTCCTAAATGAGTTCTTAGCTTCCCAACTTTCCAGCACCAAGACGTCCTTCCTTCTCCCATTACATATGAGTAAGATTCTCATAACACTAGAGCCTTCAACCTCAAGATAGGCATGAAACCACTTTATCTCACAGACACCACATAAACATTACTGCAGCATGGGACATCATGCTAGTTTTGCTCTCCAGAGGTCTATCTTTGGCCCATGCTAGTCCCTATCAATCATTCTTCTCTCCACAGGCCCCACAGATTGACTGGCCACCCACTCCCTTCCAGCTATCACCACCCACTGTTCCTAAGCAAAGTGTCACTCCTCCCTCACCTACTAAGGTACAGGTCCACCATCTGTCAACACCCGCATTCTACTCCTACACAGTTCATGAAATTTTCTAAGACCTTTAATGGCTCATAATTGCAGGAGAAGAAACAAGATGAAAAATAGAAACTGTGAGGAAAATTATAATCATAGAATACCTTGGTTTTCATAATACACACTTGCACAGACAGGTGTAGGGAATTCCCAAATGAGGAAACTCCCTCTACCAATGCAGGTTGGCACCTTTTCTTTAACTTACATTCTTAGAAAGCTGCCTAGAGAGCGCTGAGTGGCTAAGTTGCTCACTCAGAGCCTATATGTGCCAGAGACAGGACCCAGGTCTCAATGGCTTCAATGCTGTCTCTCTATCTGCTATATCAGTTTGCCTTTCATCAGGCACTCTTAGGGTAGTGAACTTTGCCCAGGTTTCCTCACCTTCACACACTCCTTTCTGGTGGGGTAGGGAGTTCTCTCACTAGTCTTGGCCAATCCTGGCCTCTAGGGGTGGGGAAGGCAGCATGCTTGCTAAACATTGGTGGGGCATTGAGGGAGGGAACATGACTATAACCACAGCTAACTAAGGGTTGGCAATCAATCAATGATAAGCATTTATTAAGCACCTACAATGTACCAGGCATTGTTCGAGGTGCTGGGGATACAAAGACAAAAATGAAGAGTTCCTGCCCTCAGAAAGCTTACATTCCATCAGGAGAAACAACAGGTACACCTATGTGTTTATTAAAAACATACACAAAGAAAATGTAAGATCATTTTAAAGGGGAGGCACTAATAGCTGGGGAGAGCAGAAACAGCTTGAGCTGAGTTTTGAAGGAAGCTAAAAGGTGAGGATGGAGCTCATTCCACACAAGACACAGCCTGTGCAAAAGCATGGAGATGAGAGATGTAATTTTAACATTATGTCCACAAATTAAAAGGTGCCTAGGACAGAGGCAGGCACCAAGGCGCTCCACAGTAAGGGTTCTGTGAATCTGGTATTCTAGATATCTTCTTCTTGGTGGTAGTAAGAGTAGAGCCTCCTATTCAAGGGATCATGACCCCACACTGTACTATGTCAACCTTAAGGCACATCAATACCTTGGCCTTTTGGCCCTGCTAACCTCATCTAAAATCCCACCTTCTACTGGAAGCCTTTACCTATCCCTCCTAATTCTAGTGCCTTCCCTCTGTTGATTCCTATTTATGCCATAAATAGAACATTGTTAGCATGTATTTGTTTGTTTGTTGCTTCCTCCCACCCCTACCCCCTTAGATTGTGAGCTCCTCAGGGGCAGGGACTGTCTTTCGCCTTTCTTTGTATCCTTAGATACAAAGGTTAACACAGTGCCTGGAAAAAGGTAGGCTCTTAATAAATGCATATCCATTGATTGACACCTCTTCTTGGCACACCCTCCTCTCCACTGCAGCAGCCCACAGCATAGGTATACTCACACATGGTTGCAATCATGTTTGCAGTAGCTCGCTGATGCTCTGGGAACCACAAGGCTGCAAGTTTGGCTGGAGAGAAGATGACCAAGACCTGAGCCAAAGCGCAGAAGGTCTGGCCAATCATAAAACACAGGAAATGGTAATTGTCCGTAAAACGTAAGCCGGGGAACAATCGGATGACACTCCCAATGGCATTCAACCAGGCACACAGGATCATCTGCAAGGAAGGAGAGATAACATACAACAGAGACCTTCTCTAGTCTGACCTAAGACCCTTTCAGACCATGGCACCTGAGAAGTTCTGAACCTAACAGCACACATCCCTGTCCCTCCTTCCCTAACTCTTGCAACATATAGAGAAGAGAACCTGGCATGGTGGGTAGACTGCTGTACTAGGAATCAGGAAGACCCTTGATTGATTCAAATCCTTCTTGAGATACTTACCAGCTACAAGAGGCAAGGCAAGTCCTCAAACTACTCTGAGACACGACCTTGGAAGAGGCCCTGGGCTTGGATGGGACATTGAATAGAGGGCACATAGACATGGGGTTGTTTTCTTAGAAGCATAGGATTTAGGGGCAGCTAGGTAGTATGGTGGATAGAGCACCAGCCCTGAAGTCAGGAGGACCTGAGTTCAAATCCAGCCTCAGATATTTGACACTTACTAGCTGTGTGACGCTGGGTAAGTCACTTGACCCCAATAGTCTCACCAAGAAAAAAGAAACATAGGATTTAGAAATGGAAGAGATATTTAAGATCATTTAGTTCAACACCCTCAGGTTAAATAATACAGGTAATGTCAGAGCTAGAATGTGAAGTCATGTCCTCTGATTCCAAATCCAGGGCTCTTTTCACTAAACCATGGTTGACATCTTTACAGTGCCTGAATGAAGAAAATCCCAAACAGAAGTTTCAGGGAGACTCACAAATAAACCATACCAATTTAGTTTCTTCCTGGTTCCCCCACCAACCTACATACTTGACCCCGAAGGAAGGGGAAGAGGACCTAGAATAATGACTCTACCCCCTAGGAGTTCACGATGGAAGGAGGTGATATGACTCACACAGAGCCATTAGAGTAGGAAATTGTACAGACTAAGAAGGAGGGAGGGATACTCACTGAACACTTAAGTCCAAAAGAATCCAGAATCCATGTAGCAACTATGCCAAATGGGATGGATATCACCAGGTAGATAAGAGACAACCAATTAATCTGCGTCATGGAGAGTTGGAAGTAGTGAGCAATTTTGTCGGCCACTGGGGCAAAACTTAGCCAAAGCTGCAAAGTAGGAGAGAGACGTCATGAGATTGGGTCTGGTGGATCCCATTAGGAGAAGCACAGACTGAGCTCAAGAACAGGTGTCCATGCCTGTGAGTTCAAATCCCGCTTCAGACACATAATACTTCCTAGCTGTGTAACTCTGGGCAAGTCACTTAACCCCAACTGCCTCACTTTAAAAAAAAAAAAGAAGCTCACAGTCTGGGGGTAAATGGAGGAAAAACAGAAGAGAGGAGAAGGTGTGACCAGACTGGCTTTCAGACTTTATATAATTGAGGGGGTCAGAGATTCCTGAGAACTGCAATAGCAGGGAGGCTTCATACAAGACAGTAATAGTTGGCATCTCTATAGTTCTTTGAGATCTGCAAAGCACTTTACATAGATTATCTCATATGATCCTCAAGGGAAACAGATAATACAGGTATAATTATCTCTAGTCTACAGATGAGGAAACTGGGGCTCAGAAATTAAGTCACTTGTCCCCAGTTACACAACCAACATCAGTGTTAGGATCTGAACCCAGGAAATGCCCAACTCCAACTCAATCAATCAGCAGTATTTATGAGGACCTCCTATATGGCTGCCATTGGGATAGGTACTGGACATGTAAATACAAAAACAAGACGGTCTCTGTCCTCAAGATGCTTACATTCTACTGCGGGGAGGGGAGAACATAAGTTCACAGACAAGTAAGGTTTCCTGACTGAGTGGCATAGTTATTTTTTGTTTGTTTTTTGGTGGTGTAGTAGATAGAGTGCCAGGCCTAGAGTCAAGAAGGTTCCTTTTCTTGAGTTCAAATCTGGCCTCAGACATTTACTAGCTGTATGACACTGGGCATGTCACTTAACCCTGTTTGCCTCAGTTTTCTCATCTGTAAAACGAGCAGGAGAAGGAAATGGCAAACCACTCCAGTATCTTTGCCAAGAAAACCTCAAATGGAGTCATAAAGAGTTGGACATGATAGAAAACATCATCTCAAAGCACAAGCCCTTCCCTCCCAGGGCTGAGTCACACATGGGCTGTGTGTGTGTTGGGGGGGTGCAGTATTGGGAGTGGGGGGGGGAAGGAAGGGCATACCCTAATAACTAGAGTAATTGGGAAAGGCCTTTTGAAAGAGGTAGCACTCTCATCATAGGATCATAAATTCAAAAACGAAGGAACCTCAGAGCAGGCGGAGCTTGAGTCCTGGACGACTGCAGGGATATAGAGGGATGGGTGGGAAGAGGACATTCTAGGCAGAGAGAAGAGAATGAAGAGGCTACTTGTGTTCCCAGCACCAGAATTAGAAGTCAGACTATCTAGAGAAGATGGAAGACACCCAGGCCCCACTGTCCTGGAGACCCAGGGATCAGCACAGGCATAAACTGAATCCATCGGAGAGAACAGGCTGGCCCCGGACCCACACTATCTGCCCTTGATCTGAACTCCTCATCTCTGGGGTTATCTTGTTGTTCCTGAAAATTATTTAAATTCTGGCCTTTATCTCAAAAGATGTTAACATCTTTCACATGTGCGGGTGACTTTGTAAGTCTCCAAGGCTTTCAGATCCATCCTCTCCTCTGACCTTCACAAGAGCTCTAAGTAGGAAGCTGGGCAAGGATTATCTCCTGTCTTTCACCAAGGAGGCAACTGATGTGCAGAGAGAGACAGGGGACAGGCCAGTACCTGCTCAAAGTCACACAGTGACTTAGTGGAAGAGCCCAAACTAAGAACCCAGGGTTCCTATCTCTCATTTACAGGGCGGCTGCTCACTCTACTGCCCTGCCTCAATGATGAGGGCAAAAGGGAGAGGGCAGAAAGGGTTAAAGAGAGTCATCCAATTTTAGCTCTACAGAAGCTCTTCAGTGGAAAGGACAGAAAAGGTGGAAGAAAGTTGCTTCCCCTTTTTTGTTTTGGGGGAGCTAAGGGGAGCAAGGAAGTGAAGTGAAAGGAGGAAGTATTAGTTATTGGCAGCATGTCAGAAATAAAGGAAACTCAAAGAATGAGTTTCTCTCTATGTAGAAAAAGCTTGAGACCCTTTTAGAGGCCACAGCTCTCCCTCTGCCCTGGGGAACAAAGCCATTTCCTGAGCACTGGCCTGAGAGCGAGGAAACCTAGGTGTCATCCCAGGGCTCCCACTGAGGTGCTATGTGACCTTGCAAATCAATCCCCTCTCTGGGGGCAGTTTCCCCATCTATAAAATCAGGAGAATGGACTGGATGTTGCTGAGGTCCCTTCCTACGCTGATATTCTGTGATTCTGAGACCAATCTTGTTGCCTGGCAACATGCCTCGAGACATATGATATCTCCCCCAATTTCCCCTTTGGAATTAAATACTACTTGGCTAACTGCAAGAAGTCATGTCAATACACAACCAAAAGAAAAGGTCCTCAGCCTAGCATTTAAGGCACTCAACAATCTGGCCTTACCTGACCTTTAAGGATGCAGTGCTATTGAGTGGGAAGAGCTTGAATCTGAAGTCAGAAAGACCTAGGTTCAAATCCAGCCTTAGACACTTATTAGCTAGGTACCCTTAGGGAATGGATTTACTTCTCTGAACCTATTTTCCTGTCTGTAATAAAAAGGGCTATTGTAAGGATTAAATGAGATAATATCTGTAAAGGACTTTAAAAACTGAAAGCCCATGGGGCAGCTAGGTGGCGAAGTGGATAGAGTACCCGACCTGGAGTCAGAAGGACCTGAGTTCAAATCCGACTTCACACCAAACACTTGCTGTGTGACCCTTGGCAAGTCACTTAATCCCAATGGCCAAAAAATAATAATAATAATAATAATAAATAAAAAACTGAAAGCACTATGTAAATGTTAGCTGTTCTTATCATCTATCCAAATTTGCTTCCCTGTGTTCCCCAACATGTACTGTCCAGTCAGGCTGGTTTCACCGTCCACCCAGACTTCAGTGCCTCATCCCTACATAGAACGTACTCCTCCTTTGTCCTCTGCTGCTGCCCAATCCTATGTATCTTTCAAGGCCTACTTTCATGAATCCGTCCTATCTATTCTATCCCAATTCAATCCAACAAGCATTTAGTAAACGCTTCCTATGCGCCAGGCATTGTCCAAGGTTCTGGAGATACAAAGACCAAAAGGAAAGACGTCCCTATCCCCAAGCAAACAGAGTACCCTCGCTTAACCCCAGTGCCTTCCCTCTTTTAATTATTTCCTATTTATCCTGTACATAATTCATACTACATATATTTGTCTGCACGCTGTCTCCCCCATTAGATTGTGAGCTCCTTGAGGAGAGGGACCATCTTTTTGCCTCTGTTTGTATTCCCAGTGCTTAGCACAGTGCCTGGCACATAGTAGGCACTTAGTAATGTTTATTAATTGATTGATTGGTTCTATCAGAGGGGACACTACATATATACAGATAAGTAAATACAAAATTTATACAAAGCAAATATCTCATTATCTAGAGGTAAGAGTCTACCAAAATGAACTCCTTCTCCTGTTTTCCCCATTGCTTAACCTCACAAAGAGCAGGGTGTGAAGGACAGGGCCTCAGTAAAAACATGTTAACTAATTTTTTTTAAATAGTTACTCTCTCGTTAGGGACGGTGCAGCGTGGGAACTAGAATCGTTACAGAACAATCTGAGTGGCCTGAACCCCTAGTCTGTCTCTGTCTCTATGCCTGAAATGCTTCCACGTGGACTTCATTATTTTGGGTTAAGGCATAATCTTGTTCAGGTCCCCATTAAAATGCATCTTCTCCAGAGAGGAATAACATGAACATCCTTATATCAGCCGTTATTACTACGTAGGGAATCAGTCCGTCAAACACAGATCCCATAATCTCAAAACTACAAAGGACCACAGAGGTCATTTAGTCCATTCCGAAACTGATCAGAAATTCAATTGAAGAGACTCAGTGTTAGAGAACTCATTATCTCACATACAGTTCTACTTTTGGATAACTTTTTTTTTTTAACGTCAAAGCTAAATTCACCTGTCTACTTCTTGGTGACAATTAGGTATCAGGATCTTAACAAAACATGACAGAGTAGGTCGGAAAACTCTTGGCTCTCCAAATTTCCTCCACCAAAAAAGACAGAACATTGCCTCAGAGCAGCAGAAATAAACATGGGGTAAAGCAATTGTCCTTCTAAGACAATTTGAGAAGATCCCAGGAAAGACTTGACCTCCAGGGCCAAGGTTCGGCCTGAGTGAAATGCAAACACCTCCAGGCTGACTCTTCAGAGTCAACAAACGAGCCCTGCAGGCAGCTGGATTGGGAGGCAAGCCTCAGCCTTAGAAACTTTCATCTAGCAGAAAGTATGGGGGGTCTGTTTGCTGAATAGGAGGAGATTGAAGGACCTTCCTGTGTCTAGGGACACCCAGCACATCTGTACTAATAAGATGCCTCCTTGGCTGTGGCTTCAGAGAGAAAGAACTAGCACACACCTGGTGAGTGCAATAGCAGAGGGGTGGGGACCGTGTTGGGTGTGGGCATTTGCAGGAGAGCAGAGTTTCAGTTCCAGGGCAAAGAGGACAGCTGGAGTTTGTAGCCACCAGAGAGACTAGAGGGAGCAAGAGCATTTGTAGGGCAGTGTGGCTGGGGGCCCCGAGCTATGCCCAAGGTTAGGGCCCAAGGCAGACCTCAGAAAATAACAGTAAGAAGGACTGAGGCTTGAGGCATCATTTCCCATACCTTGGGACTACAACTTGATTACACTAATAGCTGCTAAAAACAAAATAAAGCAAACAAACAAAAAAATAAAAATGAGTAAGTGAAGGAGAAAGAACCCAACCAGAGATCGTTACTATGGGGATAGAGAAGATCTGGGTTCATATTCAGAGGAAGATAATGGAGCTAAAAAAGTCACTCCTCTGTCAATGAGTGTCAAATGGTCCCAAGCACAAAAAGTTCTTGAAAGAACTTAAAAAGGACTTTAAAAATCAAACAAAAGAGATAGAGGAAAAATTAGAAAAAAAAATAAGGGCAATCCAAAAAAATCAAGAAAATTATGAAAAGAAAGTAAAACAACTGGAAATAGA